ACAGAGCAGACGGGTCACGCCTCACAACAGTCTTAAGCAATTACTGTAATAACCTAGTATTAAATAATCTTTGTGGAAGAGAAAATAAACTTTATCTTATCTAATGGTAAGTGAGTACCGCCGCTCATAGACACCTGCTAGTAACAGTCACAAGTGCGTCGCCTTTGTTCCCTTGCCTTCAGAATTAGGAGTAGGTTTGAGGTTCCCGCAACCTCTTTCACTCGATAAAGAACAATAAAATAATTATTTTCTTTTCCTTTCTTTTTTTTCTTTTACAACTCCCGCATTTGGAATACTTATATCCTGTATCGCTGGGGCCTTTACAATCATATATGAAACGGACACCAAGAACACCCAGACTCAGAACAACAATTTGTGGATCACAACAAAAGTCGTCCCATGTCGGTTCGAACTCACAATACTCAGCGTAGTAGGAAGCGGCGTGGCGACCGCCTGAACCACTACGTCATCCGTGCAGTCAATTTTATTGCTTAACACTCATTTTCTGTGAGGCCGTAGCATCACTTCGGTCGGCACATATTGTGCGCAAGCATTGCTCTTCCCTGGAACTCCTCCAGCCCTGAAATCCGGTACAAACACATACTAAAATATCTATATTTATCTTTTAAACAAATCTTGTCGCTGGACACTTTGTGATTACGAACAAAACAAACAGTAACACATTTCCTAATGTTTGTATTGTGAGGTAACTTGTCAGTTGCGAACGCCACAGACTACGCGGATATTGCACTTGTAGATACGACTTCGCTGGTAAATAGGTACTTTGAACGTTATTGTTTGATGCTTAATTTATCATACACTGGCCAGAAAGTTTGAATCTGAATAAAGAACTCATAAGAACTCACTCAAATTCAAATAAAATGGTTCTATTAATATACCATTGTAACCCTACCTATCTATTTTTACAGATAAAGCTTTCTGATTCTGATATAAATAGACTAGATGCAAAAGGAAGACCTCCGAATGAAATTTCAAAAAAAAATCTGATTCCTTGCTCAGATTTTGAATGATTATGTAAAGATACAAGTACATATGTAAATCATAAAAGAAGCCGCGATTAACCAATCCAATTTAAAACAGTTAGATTATCAAATCAGTGCCTAAATTGTCTTTACAGGAAAAATACTTTGAATCCAAGTAAAACAACCGTCATTATTTAAGAGTAAATAGTTTTCTCAATACAATAATGTTAAAAAATATTCACGAATACATTGATAATAAAACTATTGAAAATATTTACCGAAGCGTAATTAAATGCCACTTCATGACTTACGTCAATTTCAACAATTTATATTTAAGTGTTGCTTGAAACCTGAATAAACATTCAGAATTACGACTAACGCGTTAAAAATGTTTGATATTATCCTTGACATGAATTTTATGAGTGTACTCAACTTCAATAATGGGAGAGTAATCCTACGGCACATTTCTTTTTGTTTAAAAAGACTATTCCCGCACTAGGAATATAATATATCCTGTGAGACTTTAGAAATATTCATGAAACAGACACAAAGAACACCCAGACTCATAACAACAATTTTGTTCATCTCATGTGGGACCCACAATACTCAGTCCAGTAGGATGGGGTGAGATGACCGCTTCAAACACTACGACTTCCGTGCAATCAACATATGGGCCGGCTCGACGGCCCAAGCGGTGTGAAGCAATTCTGTCGCTGCTTTTCACCGAGTGAATTACTGATCCTACATATATTTTGACATTTTATGGCACAAAAGCCTAACCAATAATATTCCAAGTTATACTCGTCACTAAATTAAAACAATACATTCAAAATGATGATCTCTAGTATCAATTAAAATCTCTAAAATATCGGACAACTCATTAAAGTAAAGTTTCCTTGAGATAAACATCTTTAGAACGGTTTCGCACTACGTTTGATCAGAATCCGATCCGAATGTGTGAAAATCCGGTCCGAATTAGTCGTAGCTTTCCGTGTGGTGACGGATTAAGAATACAGAGTGTCACCACCCCTATTCATCCCGTGGGTGTCGTAAGAGGCGACTAAGGGAGCGAAATAGGACAATAGCACTGCAGAGAGAAGGAAAACTTGTCACATACCCTATACCAACCCGTCTGGCCAGCGTGGTATAGTAGGCCAAAACCTCCTTTCTAAGGAGAGGCCTATGTCCAGCAGTGGACTGTTAAAGGCTGTTGATGTGATGTGATGATTACGCACCAAATCCGCCTGCTGTCATCCGATTTCTTTCCGTTATCCGTGAATCTCTATTCCGGACAAGATTATTGACGGATTACTTTGTAGCCAAATACTATTATTTGTATGAATGCACTCAGAAATGTTTACTCCTTCTGTGTCATTCGTACGAACAATAGCATTGCCAGAAGTTGACGTCAACCGGAATGATTTATGATCATCGACGTGAACGCTCTTCGTAAAATGACGAATGCTAAAATTTAACCACTAAATTGCTTGGATTAGCATCACAATAGTGCATAAACAATATACGAATACAGCCTTCCAAATCCGTAATCATGGATCAGAAATCGAAGGTACTGCGAAAAGCAATATTCAGCGCGGGATTTCTAGATTCACATTTTCAAGGGTTCGGAGCAGATTCGGATCGGACGTAGTGCGAAACTGTCTCATACATGCTTCATAGGTTTTTGTTGTTCCTAGCTGACAACAAGTTAAATTCTCAAAGATTGCCACCACAATGCTTATAAAAACACGTTAATTTTTATAAATAACCTGTTTGGATCTTGAACATCGCAACAATTATCATAATAATATCATCTTGAGAATATTTGGCTTTATGTTCCGTATTAATTGAATTCTTTGGTCCGAAGGTAGCTGCGTTATTCTGTTCTAAAATCTATGCTATTATTTTCAAGCTGAAGAGTTAATTTGTTTGGTTGAACGCGCTAATCTCAGGAACTGATTCACATTGAAAACTTCTTAGTGTTGGATAGTCCTACAACATCACGTTAAGATCACTCAATCAATGAAAAATTGTATAAAAACGGGGCAAATATATTCATATTGAGAAACGCAGACGAATTTGCGCGGGTCAGTTACGCAATAATATGTAGTGCCGACCAGGGCCAATCAACTATCGATCACGTAACTGTCATACAAGGTATTTTCATTGTAAAATAGTAAAGTATTACTGAGACTAGCAGATTACCGATTCAACTTCTGGTCATAATACGATATAATCACATTACAGTCAACGTTGGTTTTTTAATACTTATTAGGTTTTGTTTTTGTTCATTTTTAATACAGCATTCTGTCAGTTAATCAGGATATTAAGCGATAGATTGGGCATAAAGCTTTATTACTAGAATACATTTTATGACATTTTGTGAGATCGAGAGATCTTTTATGATGAGAATTGGCCTTTAGCTTTTGTACAATACATGTGGATGTTGACACGTGTAAAATAGATTAGACAATTATTGCTCTGATAAGAGTTAAGGTCTAACGGACTTCAAAATTGCGAAACGACTATGCCATTTAGAAATAATATGCCAGATCAAATGACTGACCTGCTAGTCTAGTGGTCTGTGATCCGGTCTGTTGAGCCAGCATTATTGGGTTCGATTTCCACTCAGTACAAATAATTTTGTGACGATTATTTGTTCTGTGGCTGTAATGTATGAATTTAAAAATATATTAATATGTTTATCAGCAATCTGGTTAGTTCTTCGCCTAGTTTGGTACCAGATGGCCGTGTTTCAAATGTTTAAAATAATCTATTGAAATAATCTGTTGAACACGCAACGCTATCCAGACTCAAACGAAACATAAATCAGCAAACGAAGACGGTTAAAAAGACTTATTTGTTGATATATTTATTTTTTTATAATTTAATTTAGGTATATTAGGGGTTAAGGTATGAGGAGCGGGACCGAGAGAGATTTAGAACTCTCCTGGTCCGCCAGGCCCGGGAACGGGCCAGGTACCGCAGGCGACGGTGCCTTCATTAGCAGTCTCTTCTCCAAACGCAGCGTTAATATTGTGCCGTTTATCCGCGTCGGAACTCGTCTTCAAAAATAACTCGGATATTCGAAGTATCCGTCTTTCACGTCTAAGCTGAATAAAAAACAATTGAAAGTCGAAAAACGAATTTTGCACATTTTTTAAAAGAAGAACCTCATAGGTATCATGTGAAAAAAGTTTCACACAAAAATCTCACACCATGAAGGTTGTATGTCAATTCAAAGTATATATTACTATACGACAGCAATTTCATACTTTAACCCCTATTATACACGGCAACACCACCGTTATTTTTTTTTGTATGAAAAAATATTTTTATCATTTAAATAATTAATATGCAGATTGTTATATCGTATCGTTAAGTCGTGATGCACAAAACGTGAGGCAATCATAAAGAAGGTTGTATTAATATAATGAGGCATCATAATAGTATATTATATTTAATAGCTAAGAACTAAAAAGGCAAAAGGTCCACCAAACCAATTACCATTAAGCGTGAATGCGATTAAGGTTTAAAGGCCTACATTATTTGAAGTGAAAATTTCCTTTGAGAATTTTTGAACAACAAACAAATTTATTTATTTTTGAGATTGAAAAAAACCATTGGTTTGAGACACTGTTACCGTTACCGACACCTGTGCATATAAGTATCTACATATTTTACATCATATCAGTCCCTCCCTCCAGAAACAGGTTATCTTAGCACAAACCCTCTTTGGTTTGGGTTCCAATAACCTCACTCACTCGTTGAAAATGAGCCGCTTCCTATTGCGCTGAGTGTTGTAGAATCAATCCCCACATGGGATAACACTGTGTGATCCACAAATTTGTGTTCTTAGCCTGGTGGTTCTTTGTACCCGTTTCATGTATGTTTGTAAAGTCCCCAGCGACACAGGATATATTCCTAGTACGGGAGTTGTCTTTAAAAAAAGAATGTGACATGGCTATCCCACGATAGAAAACAAAAACAAACCTAAATTCAACTTTAATTTGTCACCAGATCTTCCACCTCCTCGAAATGCGCCGCCATCGACCGCTCCAAGCGGCGGTGCCAGTGGCGCTCACGTGCAGCTCAAGCGTCTCGTGGCTAGAGTCGTCGAAGAAGCTTCTTCGCTACCAGCCCTGGCGCGATACGCTGCAGAACCTCACACCCCCTCGCTAGAGTCTTCCACGTATGAAGATTTGTTAGCGACGGCTATATTGAATAAGGTGAGATCCTTTTAAAAGTATATATGTATATAGAAAAGCTTCTGCCCGCATCCTCGGCTGCGTTGATTTTGGTAACCGTGATCCTTTATTCGCCCGGTTCATATAGTATGAGATTTCGCGATCTCTTCAACAATAATCGTTATATTTCGAACAATTTACATAAAACCATAATAATTTTTTTACACCTAAACGTTTCTCAGGAATCACACTATCTATTGCTGAAAACGGTATAAAAATTCGTTCTATAGTTTTGGAGTTTATCGCGTTCATACAGACAAACAAGACGGCGGGGACTTCATTTTATAATATGTAAGGTTAGTTAGGTAATTTTTAGGGTTCTGTACCCAAAGGGTAAAACGAGACTATTACTAAGACTCCGCTGTCCGTCCGTCCGTCTGTCTGTCTGTCCGTCTGTCACCAGTCTGTATCTCATGATCCGTGATAGTTAGAGAAAACCAGAAAACCGGTGTTAAGCAATTGTTTCGTTGCCTTTCACTGAGTGAGTGAGGTTACCGGAGCCCAAATCCCCCCTCCGCTGACTCGAGCGGGAGGGCAGCAACGCACTTGTGATTTTTGAGTTTGCAGGTGTCCATGAGCGGCGGTAGTTGCTTAACATCATGACCCGTCTGCTCGTTTGCCCCCTTATACCATAAAAAAAAGACAGTTAAAATTTTCACAGATGATGTATTTCTGTTGGATGGGTTGGGTGGGTGGATTGTTTGGTAATTTAAGGGGGCACCCATATTTTCATTCTTTTCCACAAGGCTCTTTATTGGCGTCTGACGAGATTGGTATTTTTTGCAAAGAATAAAAAGAGATACCAAATAACTTGTGTCAAGTGCTCTTTTAATGTCTGTCTGTTACGTTTTCACGCCTAAACCGCTCAATCAGTTTTAATGAAATTCGGCATGGAGGAACATTGATTCTTAAGGAAGAACATAGGCAATTACCAACATAAAAGCGAGCGGAACAACCGGCAAAACCTAGATTAAACAAGCCTGTACTGGTCGGCCAGACATCAGACCAAGTAAAATAACAGAAATGTCCTATTTTTGCACTAAGATAAGCTCCTACTTACCAATAATGTACACGATTTATAATTTAACTCTTTTGTTTTGATATTCATATTTAAAACATTTTGACTGGTCTGTGGTCGAGAGGTCGCGAGTTCGATTATCACCTAGGTTAAATAATTAAATAATGATAATGTGATGAGCACGATCATGTGTTTTGTGTCTGAGGGACTTCCTTTCTAGGGTATACCTGGTTCCCCGGCTATTAGTACCCGAGACGGCGTGCGGTTTTAGTCGGTTCGAGTCCGACATGCCACCGATAGGTGAAAAGTGTGATTTATCTATATGTATTTAGAAATATATAACTATGTCTATCAGCAGTCTGGTTTCTATTAAACAGGCTCTGCCTAATTTGGGATCAGATGGCCCTATGTAAGCGTTTAGTTGTTATTATTATTTAGAGATATTTTTTTAATGTATTTAGTTTAGGTACATCACATAACTTCAAAACCTCCCTTCTAAGGAGAGGCCTATGGCCAGCAGTGGTCTAGTAAAGGCTGTTAATGATGATGATGATGATGACATGACTTCAAAATGGTTGTGGACCCAACAGTGGCCTTTTATCAAAGGGTGAAGCAACCTACCATATTGGTTATAGACACAATACTGGGTATTCTGGACATTTCTGTAGACAACAACTGAGTTTAACAGTATCTCTTAACGTTATATTTAAACTTTTTTTACTATTTTTTCTTTCTCTTTCTTACATTGGATACGCTTTCACTAAGAGATATCTTCATATTTTAGAAGAGCTACATTTAAATACTTAGTACCCCATAAAAAATTGAGACTGTTAAAAAAATCCTCTTATTCTGCCTCTGGTCTCTCCATCATCTTTGTTCGTTCATGTAAAGCTGTAAATTAAGATGACCGAACAAATATGACACTGGAGCTCAAATCTCAAATCATCAAAGCATCAAATCAAATCATCAAAAATCAAATCATCAAAGCTCAAATCATCATCAACGCCGTTAATTTGTTCAGTGCTGGACCTTGGCCTCTCCTCATAGAAAGAAGAAAAACACGGGTTGGTATAGGGTTTGTGTCAGGTTGTCCACTTTGATCCTTTAGTTGACTCTTCCGACACAAACGGGATGAATAGGGGTGGTGACACTACGTATTCTTAAGCTGTCACCACGCGGATATCTTCCACCAAAATCGACAATCTCAAATACTCAAATAGTTCCTCGAAGCAAAACCCGGTAGTAGTCTGAAGCAAAGCAAGGTAGTAGTCTCTGCTTAGGCTTCAGCACGGTACTATTATAATACAGTACTCCAACTTCATACAAACAAACGAAACGCGAGCTATACCTACGCGCCTCGATCTCGGGGTGCGCTCGGGGCGCAGACAGTCACGGCTGTACCGCAGTGTCGAACGGACTGTGTGTTGTTTTTTTAACAATAACCGCGCGATTTTTTTCTAAAAAACAGTTAATATGACGTGTAGGAAATATTGTGCTGTTTTTGGTTGTATGAATTTGTCAATAACGCATCCAGACATAAGTTTTTTAAATTACCTGGAAACTCTGAAAGGTAAGACAATACAATAATTTTACTTACTAGTAGGTAGGTACATAATGTGTGTCTTTTTAATGGATAAGAATTTCCTTTTATCTCACGAAAAAAAGGTGTTTGGATTAATAAATAAAGCGAATAGAGTAACGGAAAGTTATTGAGACGAGTGAAATAGGTAGTTATATGCGGTTCTGAATGAATCATGATACGGTACCGGGACTACAGTAAGATTAATTAATTCGATTTAATTTAATAGAAAAAATGGAGGAAATATTGAGGCGCAAATATTTTTCGGTCGCAAATTTATAAGCCCGATTTGTTTTTTAAACAAAAACATGTTTTTTTTAATTAAATCTACCAATCAAAAAACAACACGCATTTTTATTGAACACTTCCTATCCAATATACAAAGTATTTCATTTATTTATATAAAAAGGATATTTACAATCACAAATCTAAATAGAAACATAAAGTAGGCAAATATAATTAAAATGCTGGAGACGGGCAGCCCTAACGCATGTTTATGTACCGCGCGGCTGTAGGCATTTATTTCTATCATGCGGCCGAGTTACACTACTGTATTATAAGTGTACCGTGGCTTCAGGGTTCAGACTGCATAGTTCCCAACATTGTACATGATAAGTCCGGATAAATTTAATTGTTACATGATACACTTATTTTTCGGCGAATCCTTATAAATTCTGCGTCAGTTGCAACACTCACTTTAATTTAGGGTTGCCTCTGTATTTTTTTATTTACTTCTTTGAGGTCGGTATAAAAACTTAGGTAGGATTAGAAATATCGCGAGTTTGAAAACGGAGCGCGACTGCAGCTTCTCGAAGAAGAGGAGGAGGAGGATTCTCGTTCTCGTTTATCTTCCTGTGATTGGTATTTCCAGAATAGAAGCATACATTAGCTAGCTGTTACTTAATTTGTACACCAGAGTTTTACAGAGATTATTAGAGCCGTGGGAGAGCTATTCTTCAGCGCATATTGGGCCTTCTTGACCGGCATAAATTTTCTGGTTGCTTTTTAATTGCGTCGCCACCCTTTAAGAGAAATTAACTGCCCTCCTCCTCATACTGTTTTTTTGGAAGGCTGTGGTGTCAGTACGGTGGAGCTAGCCCGTATATGCCGCAGCATGGCTATCCCAAAAGCGTCGAATATACACTAACATTCACTGTACCTTTCTTTACCTATGATTCGCCGTACTGAGGCAATGCTAACCTCTGTGAGAAGATAAACTTTGTATGACAATGAATAAATAACTAAAAGTATCAAACTTGCTCACTCCAGTTTATGTGATCAAGCACGTGGAGGGCTTTAAAGTGTAGGCATTTTTATCAAAATAATAGAAGATATCACAGAATTCTTATTACGAATTTTACGGGGTCAATATTAGACAACCTCACCACAGATAATACGAAACAAATGGAGTAATACAACAAGGATCCTGTCAAAGAATACAATCGATCACATATATAAACTTCTTGGCGATAGCTTATCTTAGATACTGTTAGATAGAGACCTCATATCTTCAGACTAGTACGATTCCAAGATAGTCCCATATACATAATCAATGCGATATATTCAAAAGAAATGGTAAGTCATAAATATAATGAGATTAATGACTTATTTATCGATGTACATACATTTGTCACTAATCACCAGAACGTGATGAAGGTCCGGATTGATATTTTCGAAGTTAATTTAGTTTAAAGAAATGTATACTCTTATTTGTGTGTGTTTTGTGATTTTTCTTTATGTTGCCGCCGCTCTTGGCTTGGTGAGTTCCATAAATTAGTGGTTTGTGATTTGTATTTTTATTTAGTTCTTAATTATGTATTTTTGTGGAAAGGAAGACGTAGAAAGTGCTAGCAGTATTAGCAGCTAGCTAGTGGAGTGGTATTGTCTACTTAGTAATATTTTATTATAAATGATACTTTGTTAAGGTTAGTTTTAGAAATGAGATTTTGTACGTTTTTGAAAAATTTATTCAATATTTTGCAATTTTTATCTAGTGCTCAATAGTGTTTTTTTGTAGAAAGACATAGAAAGTAGTCGCATTTTATATGTATATAGAGTGGGCTATCTAGTGGCATTTTATTATAAATTATCCCTTTGGTTTGTTTCGTTTTATGAATGAGTGCATAGCCCACGTTTTTGTAATATTATTTAGTGATTTGCAGTTTTTATATAGTGCTCAATTTTGTACTGCAAATAAAGATATACAGAGTGTTCTTAAATATTAAATAAACTTGTCTATCTAGTAGCCTCCTATTATAAATGATACCTTTGAGTTCTACAAATTAGTGAATTGTAGGTTTTGGGAAACTCATTGAGTGATTTGCTAACTTATAGTAAGTGGTTTGGAATTTTTATGAACCCAATTCTGGTTGGACATGTTAAAAGATGAGAGAACTGAATGACTAATAGAGTTTCTGAGTCTCTGTAAGTGTGGGCAGACCCCGAAAGACATATACTAGACAGACCCGCAGCATATTGGAGAGGGCCACTTTTTAATCAAAACGGCTTGATGGATTTCGGCTTGGAAGGTGTCGTTAGATTGTTCTTGATTGTGAAAGAGACACAGGGTATGTGAAAATTTTAATACAAAAAATCACCGGTTTGCAAATTTTAAGAAGGTACCCATACGTTTTCTCGCAGTAGAGTTTTTTGTCCATTTGTTATAATTATTTTTAAATGAAAGTAAGCATAACTTTTGATTGACAACCCTAAGCCGCCACTGTTCGTCTGACCTGTATGTTTTCCATCAGTTCTCAGCCGCGTCCGTGTGAACGACAACTTATCAATAAAATATTTCTATTTAAAACACGTAAAACGATCGAAATAGTGTTCAAATTGCTGTAGCAAGTCATGTATAATTTCTTCAGTACAATTGTAAGCTACTTTCAGAGAACTGCGAGGTTTGATGTTATTTTCATTCGGTTGGTATTGATCAATGCGTTTAGCTGATGTTCCACTGAACAGTTAGCGGTTACGCGCGAACGAGGATTACATTCTTTCAGACGGATTTTCGCATTCATATGATGCAGTAATTTTACTGTTTCATTTCTTGCATTCGTTTTAACGTGGTAATGCTGTTGACATTTGATAATTTCTGGGATACAACCACCCTATGTCCTTTCTCGGGACTAGGACTATTTCTATACCATTTTTTTCTAAATTGGTTCAGCGGTTTAAGCGTGAAGAGGTAACAGACAGACACACTTTCGCATTTATAATATTAGGATGGACTTGTATGGATTTTTAGTGAAACAGTCACCAATCTAAGCCGCACGAAGGGACAGACATCCGAACATGTCAATACTATAATTTGTCCCTCTTTATGCCCATGGAATCCTAAAAAAGGGACTAGGTACTATTAACATAGTTCACACATTACTAGTATTCGTGTTATTCCCTCTACTTATGCTTGGTTTTTTATTAGGAGTAATTTCAGGTCGGTACATAATCCACTGAGTGAGATTCGAACATGCGCCCAAGATATAGAAAATTCTCTTTAATTATCAAACGCCAAAAGATTTTAATAGTAATACATTATTTACCGTTGCTGCAAAACTTAGTTGTTGGATTAACATTTTATTTAAAAATAAAATGTTAACTTGGTTTGTGTACGCTTCGAAGACTCAAAAAATTCTGCATCGTTTGAGCTCCAATATTGAAAACCATCTTTGAAGCGTTTCAAAGATGGTTTTTATCTATTTTTCACGTCAGTTGTTGTTGTTCCAAAGTTCTCATTAATGCAACCAGAAGGGGCCACAGCTAAGTATGGCAGGGGAAGGTTTTCAGGTCTCACACAACGCAAAAGTAGAAATAGACTTCTCACTTTTCTGAATACGATATTGGAACGAAGTTCCTTATCGCGCGTTGTGAAAGGGGGCTCGACGGAAAAAAATCTCACGAAAAGTTGTAACGACACTTTTTATGTCAGTTATTCAGCGCCATCTATCGAATAGGTAGGAAATCATTACTTTTCATTTCAGTATTTATTTTGAATTGTCACTTGTCAGTCATTCAGCGCCATTTATCAAATAGATAGGAAATCATTTCTCAAGGAGATTTTACCAATGTATAAATTGTTTTAATTAGAAACCAACTGAAAAATATATAGGTAACAGCCGCTTTCATAGATGGCGTTGTAATTAAAATCGTGTCGAATCAGTTTTACTCGATCGTCACAACTTCGTTCCTATCGGGTGTCCCACGACACCACACGGCTTTTTTTTACTATGTGAATCATCATCATCAACAACAGCCCTTATTAGTCCATTGCTGGACTATGTTTATGAATATATATATATATATATATATATATATATATATATATATATACTGACGACCGAATGGAGTAGTGGTTTGTGTAACGGAATGCTATTCCAAAGGTCGCGGGTTCGATTCCCGCTCAAGTCAAACATTTGTGTGCATACATTTAATGTTTGATTTGGTCTGGGTGTTTCTACGTATAATAAGTATGTATTTACAAAAAAAGTATATATGTATTTATATCAGTTGTCTTGTACCCTTAGTACAAGCTCTGCTTAGTTTGGCACTAGATGGCGTTGGCACTAGAATGTGGTAGAATATTATTATATTATATTATTGATGACTGTCTTACTATCAAGTAATATCTTGACTACCTCGGTGGTGAGGAGGTAGGGTTCAATTCCCCGGTCTGGCCAAATGTTTCTATGATCTGCAAATATTTGTTTCGAAGTTTGGGTATTTTCCATGCATGTACGTATTTACGAGAAAAAAAAAGTATACAAGTATTCTATCAGTCAATCTAGCTTTCATAGTACAAGCTCTGCTTAGTTTAAAACTAGATGGCGTTTTGTGTCAGATGTCCGAAATAATATATTATTATCTGTATTGTTTATTTTTAGGTGATCGAGCGCTACCAGAACGAGAATGGTTCTGGGGGACGCAGCAGTGGGATTCACTCGGCTAGCGCGAGCCCTACACCTTCAGAACGTTCTACGCCCAGATCGCTCCATACGAGACATAATAGGGATATCACTCCACCAGTAAGTCTAGTTTATATAGTCTAGTTCTAGTCTACCCGAGACGGCGTGCGGTTTTTGGTCGGTTCGAGTCCGACATAGTCACCCCACTGGTGAGTGATATCCGAGGGGATTTCCGCAAAGGAAAAAAAGGGTCGAAATTCGACCGTAATCTACAAATTACAAGTAATAATTTAATTTATTTTTTCTAATTTAATTTTACATAAACTAAAATCGTCGACAGAGAAGAATATATATATGTATAGATAATATACTTTTATCAAAAAATTTATTTGAATGAATTTGAATTTGACAAGTTCGAATGTAAAAATTTAGTCTCATTCAAGGTTCATCTGTAAATTATCTAATTTATTTCAATGTCTGACCAACTGTTAATAAGTAGACATACATAGTACCATAAAAAATTGTCTATAGTCGCAACTCGTTGAAGTAAATTAAATTAAGAATAAATGATTTGGCGGGAAAGGTACCAAATCTTTTTAAATTTAGATTTTTCTCTTTGTTTTCCATAAAGCTTAATACCTGTATAAATTGTTGAAATCTTGTTGCTATATAATCAATTACTGTTGATTGTTATCTAAGTGGGTGTATCTTTAGGATCTGATTACAACGCATATGCGTAAAACTAGCATTGATTACACGTAAACTGAAATGCGCTCGCGCGTAATGCGTCACTTTTTAACCTAATTTTTAAAGTAAGGCAAATCAGTAACCACCCAACATAAAGAATCTACTTTTAATTTTAAAACAATATTTTTTTCTAGCTTCACGAAGAAGACGATGTGTCTGATTGGGAAGAGGGGGAGGCGACGGACGAAGCCCTAGAAGTGCCGCGGAGGGTGCCATTCCCAGAGTTTGGTGGGGACATCGTGCACAACCTAGGTACAACTACGCAATGTAATTTATAAAAAACTTTAATTAAAACTGTCATTAAAGCATGAGTCATTATATTTTAACGAACATTAGCTATTCTCATATCGTAATCAACTGATAGAAATGTGGACAATGCTAATAACTTCTTTCTAGATAACGTTATCAGCTTGCACAGTATAACGCAAAAATTAATTTATGCGAACGTACGTAGTTACTTTATTTTCCATCGCTTTCAGATAATGAGGATAGGGAGTTCGACGAAGTATCCGGGAGTGATCTGCAAGCAGTAGACGGCACTTGGGAAGAAAACTGGCTGTTCCAGAAGAAGAAAATCAAAACTATGCAATCTGTGCCAGTACCCATGTTAGTGCCAAACTCTAACACTGAGTACAGAGCCCTGATAGGCGATAGAGACGCCGACGATACAACAGACCTTTCGGATAACGCAAGTGACTCCGAAGATCAAAGTCTAGAATACAGAAGTGACGTAAAGAAAGTTCTAGAATCCAAACATGTAATAGGAGGGAAACCTAAGGTTGATGAATTAGATTTCGAACCAGATAGCCTCACTATCATTGATGGAATTGACGATTTTGACAAACTCGTCACTAAAGTAGAAGACGATGAAACTGTTGACGCGATTATTAACGAAATTAACGATAATAACGTTACTATTGTTGAAACTGTCAATGTTAAAACTGCAGACCAAATCGATGGCGGCAAGCTGGTTCTCGGTATTGACAGTGGGCCTGTACCTAAAGCAGAATTCATTATGAAGGAGGAAATACACAGAACCCTATTTAATGGGAATTCAGATAAAATAAGAGAAAATGCTCATGTCAAAACTAATGGAGAATTATATAATAGCATGCTAAGTTTGCAAGTTGGAGACAGTCTTACGAGCAACAAGGGTAAGCATTTTTATATCGGACATTCAGTAGATACAATTAATAAGAACATTACTAATGTATTATAATAAAAATAACACAAGTCTTAAAAACGTATTGCATATGCAGTCAAGTCCGCCTGAAAAGTCCGATTTTTTATTTAGAAACCGCATTTGGTGTTAATGATATAATAATAATAATATTTTCGGACATCTGACACACAACACCGTCTAGTTTCAAACTAAGCAGAGCCTGTAATAGTCCAAACTTTGCTAATGTAAGTATTCTATCAGTCAATCTAGATACAAACTAGACTGCACGGATGGCGCAGTGGTTTAAGCGGTCGCCACGCCCGCTTATTACTGTGTTGTGGGTTCAAACCCCACATGGAACGACACTTTGTGTGATCGACAAATTGTTGTTCTGAGTCTGGGTGTTATTTGTGTCGTTTCATGTATAATGATAATAATAATATTCTACCACATTCACACAACGCCATCTAGTCCCAAACTAAGTAGAGCTTGTACTATGGCTACTAGACAACTGATATAAATACATATATACTTTTTTTTTTGTAAATACATACATATTATACATAGAAACACCCAGACCAAATCAAACATTAAATGTTCAAGCACACAAATGTTTGACTTGAGCGGGAATCGAACCCGCGACCTTCTGAATAGCAGTCCGTAAATTAACAAAACATAAAAAATTTCTAATTGCTATGTTATTAATTTTCATATCAGGTGTATTAGTTTTTTCTGTTACTTCTTTCTATCAACACCTTAGGTATTCATTACTTACACTAAATAAATTTTCATTTGTCAGACTCAAAATACATTCGAATTTAAAACGGTATCGATCAATCGATGTATAACGATCATATTATCCGTCGATTGATGAAACACATCCTATCCCAATGTGGTTTAGTAGGCCAAAATCTCCTTTCTAAGGAGAGGCCTATGTCCAGCCAGTGGACTACTAAAGGCTGTCGATGATCTCACACACAACTGTCAGATCCCAAATTAGGTAGAGTCAGATTATTATTAACTGGAATGTATACTTTTGTTATATTTAGTAACTTATTTGCCCACAAAATGAAAGACCCACAAGATATCGCTGTATTCGTTTTGCAATTAAAAAGTCCGCAGAGAGTTACTAATGACTGACATACAAAGATTAAGAGATATGATATTATTTCCAGATTCAATAACCACTCAACACGAGCGCGAAGGCGAATACGAGGAGACAGTGACCATACCAGTTCAGAGGTATGCGGACAGCCTTCGCAGAAAACACTTCGACGACGGACCACAAGTGTAAGTAACTATTGAGGTGTTACATCAACTATTAAACAATTTCATCCTTAGCTGACTATTAGGCATAATTATGAAATAGGAAATTTATTTATAAGTGACGAAAAAAGATGAATGAGGGATCAAAGTAGACCACTTGTATTTTGTTGCAATTTATGATTTAATTAATACTTTATCCTAGTATTAAGAAGTCTTAAGACAAATGTTCATCAAAACTGGGATTCTCAAGATAGAGTCAAATAACCGACCTCCTTAACATATGTATACCAAACGTAAAAATACAATTAATATTATTTAACGGGAATTAACGCGATCTCTTATTTAGGGTATTACATACCTCTGGTTTGCCTGACGTTTCGACCAGGTTGCACCGGCCGTGGTCACAGGCTGACTCAGCCTGTGACCACGGCCGGTGCAACATGTAATACCCTAAATAAGAGATCGCGTTAATTCCCGTTAAATAATATTAATTATCATGGAACGCGAAAGTTTAAAAGTTAGTGTAAAAATACAAATTGTATTTAATTAACGTTTTGACTGGCTGCATTATAAACACGAACGTTTGTGCTGTGTCTGGATGCAAATTATCTATAATGTGTATGTATTTAGTAATACATATGTATGTTTATCACCAGTCTGGTTTCCATACAGGCTCTGCCTAATTTGGGATCTGACGGTTGTGTGTGAGATCATCAACAGCCTTTAGTAGTCCACTAGCTGGACATAGGCCTCTCCGCAGAAAGGAGATTTTGGCCTACTAAATCGCATTGGTATAGGATGTTTCAAGTTTTCCTTCTCTTTGCAGTGCTGTTGTCCGGCGTAGTTAGCGCCCCACGGAATGGGGTGGTGACACTCCGTATTCTTGATCCGCACGGATAGTGTGTATGTGAGATATGTTCAATAATTATTATTATCTATTAAATAATTTACATGTTTTATTTCAGGGTCCCGACTCGAGATACTGATCATGAGGACGACTTGATACCAGGTGAGATTTAGATTTAGTGTCTTTCCTCTTTATTCTATATACTTCATTAGTCTAGTTTATTTTTGCTAGTGTTAGTGTTTTTATTTGTAATTCGAACAATGTTTTTAGGTTCAATCGCATACAGAGAACGCCAGAAATGGTTAAATTACGTAGAGATGCCAAACAATCCATATTCACCAGAAGCTATACAGAAAAGACTTTCGGCAAAAAGCACCGCGTCACTTTTCGATATGTTCACCAAGAAAGAAACTGAAGATGACAAAATTGAAATACCTGACGATAATAGCGATGGGAGAGAATCAAACGAACCAATCAAGGATGTTAACCACGACAAGATCAATTTAACCTTTAGTAACGATAGTATAAATGAAATAAGCAGAACACCTTCAAGTCCGTCACCTAGACTATTAAAAGACATAGTGGCTGATGAAATACCGCAATATAAACGGTAAGCAAATTTTAAAAATAATATTTTTATGGTATGGGGTAAACGACGAGACGGGTCACCTGATGACAAGTGACCCATATGGACACTTGTGGTTTCCCCCCCCCCCCTCCCACTCCTCCGAAATCAGAGGAATAGTTGAGCCTCCTGTAACCGCACTCACTCTTTGCAATACAACGAAAGAAATGCTGAACTTCACACCGGTTTTCTGTAACGTCTCGATATCAATTTTTTACAATGTAGGGAGCAAACTTGCAATCTGATCACGTCCAAAGGGCCGAGTGCAAGTCTATTTCACATTGACTTCCTCTCGACCGCGAGCGCGTTTAGCGTTGCGATTGGAGAAGTAGTGGCGGCCAATCGTAGCGGCGATCGAGGTCACCGTGACGATCGCGTAGAAGTGAAATAAACTCGCACTTGGGCCTTTGTGGGTAAATGACTACCGCAGAACGTGACCACAAGGCAATTCAAGAGTCGGAACTACGTTGCTGGCTTTTGAGTGGCAGGTCTGAATTAAGGAGGTTTAAGCTTCTGGTGACCTCAATCACTTGGTGTAATGCAACAAAAAAATTGGTTAACATAGGTTTTATGTGGGGACGTGGTATCACTTTGGTCGAACTACAACCCCATCTAGTTTCAAACTAAGCACAGCTTGTACAATAAAACCAGATTAACTGATAGAATATACTCGTATATTTTACATAGTATAATAGTAAATACGTACAAATGTACTGAAGCATGGCTCTACTACTGTTAATATTATATAAATGATTTAGTTCCTGTAGGACTTAAAGAACCTAATAAATAGACAATACATTTTGATTTAAATATTACAGATACGGGCGAGATTATTACATAAGAGAGGCAAAATCATCGAGCGGCGGGCGCAAAAAAACAAGCGTGAGCGAGTGTAGCTCAATATCGTCGATGAACAAGTCCACCAGCTTAGACAATTTCGATACAGAGTTCACGTCGCCTGTAAGTGCCAGCAGCTCGTTAAGCGACCTCGAAGCGTCCGCCCTCCATCAGAACATCGTCCGCGCCGTACTCAGCCCCAGAAATGCCAGCCCCAACTTCGCTATAAACCCCATATTTGAGAACCCCGATAGACAATTCGATAACGCTGACGAAAATCATGCGACAGACGCTAGCGTCAGTCGAAACAACAACGTAAGACAACCATATAGAACTGTGTGCAATGGAGGTGACGGTTATGTGGAAAACGAGGATATAGTTAGACTTAAAATACCTGAAATACCCGAGATAACTGAAGATCTATTCGAAACGTACACGAATGTTAGGCGAAACAACACACTGCGAAGCGAGGACCTGTGCGTCCGCGCCAAGCGTCGCCCGCATCTCAATTTTTCGTTCGGGGGCAGTCTCAGGTTAAGCAAAGGCTTTCATACCGATATATGGTGAATGAGCACCCCTCCTAGTTCCAATATTATCCAATACACCACCTCCGTACCGAATGGCACTCCTACTGACATACGATCAACTCTCAACAAAGAATCTCTCACTGTGTACGATACATACATAGCGCCAAATCGAATCTATTAGGATACAATAGTTAGGTTAACTCCCACATCACGGACCGATCATAAAATATGGTGAAAGGAATTCTTTGTGAAACTTTACGAACATCTAAAATATCTTCGTTTGACACACAGTATTGCCTTGTGTGTGTAAAGTTGGCATGTTATTATTTGTTGGATATGAAGAGCCGACTAACAGCACTGAGCACTATTAATACAAAAATATTATCATTAGTACTGCACTCATAGATTTGTGTTCTTCTTATTAAAATTTTCAGTACTACCGTAATCCTCAAAGATGTTAGTGGTGAGTGTTGTAAGATTTTGGCAATCGAAATTTTGACTAACCTGCATTCGACTGCTTGCGATTAAACTATATATCTCTCTAATACTACACTAATATTCTCTGCAGCATTATTGTATTAATATACACAACTATACATATTCATTTCATCTTCATATTTATTTTAAGGGTTATCGATCATTTTTCTACTTATTAGTTTTATATGCGATGCACGTTTTTAACGCTTTCTAAGGCACGAAAACCTTAGTATATATAAATACGAACTCGTCTCTAACAATATAATCTTACTAATATCTATTACACCTTTAGTTTCAATTATTAGAAAACACTTCTTGTGAACAACCAGATATGGAATAACTAGATCTGAATTACTCCAAATTACAATTTTATTAACTGCACACAACTTTGTCATAGCATTATCAACATTTTCAGGGATTACTTGTAAAACAGTTCAACATGATAGCGACGAACCAACACTACACAACATTTGCTGGCAAAGATGACATGACATCACTTACGACTACTGTAAACAATAAGGAGGACATTATGATTGAATACGAAGATGCTAGCGAACCGACTCTGTTTGCCGCCACACCCGTCTATGTAGATGACGATACAGACAGAAAATTTGAAGAAATCTTAGAGACAGCATACCAAACACCTCCAACACTACCACCTCCACCCATACCAGATATTAATGATAATAAAATCGATGAACCTTTAAAATCACCCACCAGCGTTGACAATTCTTACATAAGCACTAGCAGTATGGAAGACTCTATCAAAATATACAACGTTCAAACAGGAGAGATTATTAAATGTAAACCTGAAGATAACTTATCAGCGAGATACGAAACTGACACAAACGACAATATTGACATTGTTGATAAGAACATCTCGGAGGAAGATAGTGCTAGTGGTTGCGATGATGTACGCGAACAAACTGTGATAGAGGATACAAACGAAAGGAAATTGTCACTTGAATCTGATGACGTTCTACAGAATTTACCAAAAGTGAAAGAGCTGGCTAAAATATTCGTGGATATGGACAATTTAGAAGAACCAGTCAAGGTAGGTGTAGTTACTTAATATGAATTAGCGCGAATAGCTTGTTCTATGATACTTGGTTGTGTTAACAAATATTAGTCACCTGTGATGAATTTATTTATCTAATCACCAGGTGACTCAGTAAATGACATAACATAATTATACATAATTTCGAAGTGTGTAGCCATACCACACCCAGGATTGCAAGTATATCTTGTAATCGCTTTTTTTGGATTGAGCTAGATAGCAGGAGTAAAATAATTATATTTTCCTTAATAGATTCTTGTCCCTATTATATAGTGACTGATCCTCAATTTATAGACTTTATAACATGTTATTTATAACACTAACTACCACAAAATATTTCAGGCACCACAATCGTATCTCAGACGGCGAAGAAGTAAGGATAACATCCTCACAGAAACCAACTTCAAACCTGAGAAACAAAAACAGATGTACATGCACAGTTTAACAGCAAGAAGTATCTCCAAAGAATTCAGAGAAGAACTAAAACTCTCCATGTCGACTCCTCTCACTGTTCCAGGGGGCTCTAAAGAAATGCCCGAAGGCACTGATGAGGTGACTAAAGAATCCATTACGCCAGGCAGTCCTCTACCAGAGCCGGGCACAATTAAAACTAAGCTAGCATTCTTTGAAAGTCTCAAATCAAAATTTAGTAATAAATGATTGGTGAATTAGAAGCGATGCCATAACATTATTTAGAAATTAGTGAATGTTTGATTTGTAGGACAAATTAGAGTCTGAATCTGAAAAAGTGCAAAATGTTGAAATAAAACTTTTTATATGAAGGGCTTGTTTCACTAGCTCACTAGAAGGTGATTGTAGTGCCGTCTTTTTCCATCAAGATATAAAGGAAAGAGACAGAACACCGCTCAGGCACGTTTAAGTTGCAGCAGTGAAACATGCCCTGAGTATTTTCGTATCTGCTTTTCGGTACATACCTCACGTCGCCAGCTTCGTACACAGAATTCCTTCAATGGTAGGTAACAAATGAAAGGTGAAACGTAATATAGCATGATTTTCTGTACATTGCGTAGAGTTTATCGCAGTAGCAAGACTACGACTTGTTTGTGTCATACTAAACAAGTAATGTAGTTGATACTGATTTGGGCAGGTCATTCCCTCTAGTTTATAATGTAGTACATAAATAACGGTCACATAATTTAAATGGTAGGTTACGGTGTAAATTTTAAGTGCCATTTTGTAATCGTTATTTTTCATTTATTTAAGTAATTAGTTGACGTTGTTTTTGCGAAGAAATGTACTATTGTATGTCTGTTTTTGACCAATTTTTAATGTGCTATGCCAAGCGTTTTTTGTCTAGAAATATACATCTCTGTTTTAACGATGTATAAAGGACACAGACCGGCTTAAACACAACAATATACAAAACGGAGATACGTTGACTAAGTGATCTTTAGCACGCGGTTTCACTTGCATAAAATTGATTTTACAATTTCTTGCTATCTTTTTTTTGGATAAAAGATGCAGTATGTCGTTTGTTGTTTCCCTGGCAAAGTGCATGTAAAATTTAATAATGATCCCATAAACGGAGAATGAATACAACATTGCGTGATTTCATATCGATCAGTTGAGCTTTAAGAGATTTGTGATTATAAACAAACGAATAATAATGCCTCATATTACGCACACGAAAGTCGCCATCTTTATGAATTATCTTGGTTCAAAATAACATCGCTTTTAGCCGACTCCAAAAAGGGAGGAGGTTCTCCTATTTGGCAAATTCTTTTTATACTTAATACCTTTCTAATACTTTTGACTGGCCTGTTGGTCTAGTGGTTAGTGACCCTGACTGCTACGCCCGAGGCCGTGGGTTCGATTCCCACCCAAGACAAATATTGTGTGATGAGCACGGTCATTTGTACTGTGTCTGGGTGTACTTTATCTATAATATGTATGTATTTAGAAATATATAAGTATGTTTATCAGCAGTCTGGTTACCATAGTACAGGCTCTGCCTAGTTTGGTACCAGACGGCCGTGCGTAAGATGTGTGAAAATATTATTATTTATTATAGTTGAAAGAGTATAGTTTCTCGTTGCTCCCATTGTCCCCTAAGGAAAAATTACTAATAATAAATTACATTTCTTTGCCAAAACATTTCTTCATCTTGAGCTAATGCCAAAGTTGTAAATACATACTATAAATGGCTAGTATATAGTGGTTGTGTCTATGTATAGTATTAAATAAGTTGTGCAATAAATTATTTACATAACTACGGAACCAGAGTCGCATTGTGATATACTATGTGAAACACGCATACGATTGTGAACAATATTTAATTACAGATGTTAAGATAAGGGTGGTATTGAATAAACCTATACATGAGTATCAAAAACATTGTTTTTTTTTAATGTAAAACTAGCTGGTACCTGCGACTTCGTTCGCGTGGAATTTGAAAGACGCTGCCTTTGCCTTCGGTGCCCGGACCGGGCCAAATTTTAAAAGGATTTTTTGAGAGGAAAAATAGCCTAAGTTATTCCTTATGTAGGCAGCTACTTGGTAGTAAAATATTATCGAAATCGGTAGAGCCGTTTAGAAGACTACCCGGAACAAACAGACAGACAAAAAAACTGGTTTTTAGGTATATGTATCGAGCAAACCGTGTGAGCATGAAAAAGCGATATTTTAAAGTGGATACGTTATATTCATACTGCACGCACAAAATATTTGTTCCGTAATCGCACATACATTTTTTTTATTTTTTTTTATGGTATAAGGGGGGCAAACGAGCAGACGGGTCACCTGATGGTAAGCAACTGCCCATGGACACCTGCAACTCAAAAGTCACAAGTGCGATGCTGCCCTTGGAGTCCCTCCGGCTCGAGTCAGCGGAGCTCAAATCCCCCCGGATTTGGGCTCCGGTAACCTCACTCACTCAGTGAAAGGCAACGAAAGAATTGCTTAACACCGGTTTTCTGTGAGGCCGTGGTATCACTCCGGTTTCCCACGGCCAAAATTTATTAATGCATTTTAGAACAAAACATATACCTGTGGTATGATATTCCTTTATCTTTATTTACCTTTTTGTCGTAGTTTATGCACTTTCGGAATACACAGGAAGGTATTTTATGAATTTTCTCGAAGTAATTAGTACGTGCGCTCGCTCGCAGTGGTCCTAATTAGGACCCATGTGTTTTGTGTGTTGGTGGCGTACCTACCTTTTGTTTATATATAATATCATTGCCTGTAGCCCCAAAAAGGGGTACGCAGTACCCAAGTACCCAAATTTTGATAACTATAATTTCGTTTCGCTCACTTAAATAGGAGGTAAGCCTATTGTTATAAGATCGTTTCTATGTAAGAGGGGCTAACGAGCAGACGGGTCACGGTCTGATGGTAAGCGACCACCGCCACGTTGGGAAATTCGAGACCCTTTTTCACTTTTTTCATCTGACGGGTCACGGTCTGATGGTAAGCGGCCACCTCCACGTCGGGAAATTCGAGACCCTTTTTCACTTTTTTCATCTGACGGGTCACGGTCTGATGGTAAGCGGCCACCTCCACGTCGGGAAATTCGAGACCCTTTTTCACTTTTTTCATCTGACGGGTCACGGTCTGATGGTAAGCGGCCACCTCCACGTCGGGAAATTCGAGACCCTTTTTCACTTTTTTCATCTGACGGGTCACGGTCTGATGGTAAGCGACCACCGCCACGTCGAGAAAGCCGAGACCCTTTTTCACTTTTTTCATCTGACGGGTCACGGTCTGATGGTAAGCGGCCACCTCCACGTCGAGAAAGCCGAGACCCTTTTTCACTTTTTTCATCTGACGGGTCACGGTCTGATGGTAAGCGACCACCGCCACGTCGAGAAAGCCGAGACCCTTTTTCACTTTTTTCATCTGACGGGTCACGGTCTGATGGTAAGCGACCACCGCCACGTCGAGAAAGCCGAGACCCTTTTTCACTTTTTTCATCTGACGGGTCACGGTCTGATGGTAAGCGACCACCGCCACGTCGAGAAAGCCGAGACCCTTTTTCACTTTTTTCATCTGACGGGTCACGGTCTGATGGTAAGCGACCACCGCCACGTCGAGAAAGCCGAGACCCTTTTTCACTTTTTTCATCTGACGGGTCACGGTCTGATGGTAAGCGACCACCGTCACGTCGGGAAATTCGAGACCCTAATTTACTCTTTTCGTAAGAGTCTCCAAAGAGAGAATGAAATAGGTTAATGTATAATAAAAATATTTAATTTTTAATAAAAAACAAATTTCATATCCTTATTTACAAATATTTTCCCATGGAAGTATGTTTGATTTATTCTATGTACGTACCCACTTCAGAAGCGAGGCCACCTATACTCTTAAGTATTTAACTAAATACATATGTGTAAAATCAATTCAGAACAGATTATGATTTGTTTATTATAAAGTTCACGTGTAAAGATTATTAAAGATAATAGCTTAATATTCAACAACAGTAATTATTAAAGTGTAAAAATAAAAACCCACCACTCACTCTCCGATTGTCAACCCTAAATATCTCAACAGCCATAAGGAACTTAACCAATTGGGATAAAACTTTAAACTCCCTTAGTTAAGATATTTTTAGTAGACATTACCGAATCTACACTAATGTTATAAAGCTGATAAGTTTGTTTGTTTGGTTGAACGCGCTAATCTCAATAAATACTGATCCGAATTGAAAAATTATTTAAGTGTTGGATAGCCCACATATCAAGGAAGGCTGTAAGCTATTTAATGTTATGCTATCACCAATAGGGCCTGTTAACATCATCATCATCATCATCATCAAAGGCCTTTAGTAGTGCACTGCTAGACATGGAACTTCTTGGAAAGGAGGTTTTGGCCTACTATACCACGCTGGCCCGACGGGTTGGTATAGGGTTTGAGTCAAGTTTTCCTTCTCTTTGCAGTGCTGTTGTCCTGCGTAATTTGCTCCCTTAGTCGGTTCTTACGACACCAACGGGATGAATAGGGGTGATGACATTCCGTATTCTTAATCCGTCACCACACGGACATAGGGCCTCAGCATCAATTTAAATTGCAAAAACGTAGAAAATTTACGGCTTTTGAGAGACGGAGACAGAGTTGCGTGGGTTAGCTAGCAGGTAACAATATGGTTATTGAAATCGTTAAAGTTAACAGGCGAAGGGTGAATGGTGAATTACCACCTTTAACTCCTTCCAAAGTTAGTAATAAATACCCAAAGTCTTATGAAATGGGATGCTTTCCATTTCATCAGCATATTTCCGTCTATAGCACCATAAATAATAGTCAATCAAACTGGAGTTGGGCACCTCCACGTTTTGACCTTGGATTTTTCCTTCTATTCTCTTCTTGAGGAGTTCAATAGCGTGGATGGAGCAGCCGCGGATTTCCACTTCCTCTTCGGATCCGCTTGGTAGAAGAACATCTGAAATGAACGACATATAATTTATTAACTGCTTCTTATTTATTCTTGACTGTTTTCTATGTTTTTTATTAATAACAAACATAATTTAAAAAAAAACAATACTGTGTAACTACAAATCTGAAATCGGTTTTGTGTTCGATGTCTTTTTATTTTTTGGGCATAAGTACAAGTGTCAGTCCATCCTTTCTCTATGGAATGCACTAAAAAAAAACATTTAGTTCTCTAACATAATAAATAAAAACTCTGGAATAAACTTTTTAATGATAAAAATTTCCAATTTATGATCGGCAACCGGTTATTTTTCATTTACTATTGTACAATTGTCAAGTAAACATTAAATCTGCATGATTTCACAACAGATAAACGACGCATCATTTTACAGTTTGATAACTCACCATTCTTTAATTTGTCCATTAATTCATCACTGTAAGTCAACACACCAAAATAAGCTAAAACTTGAGGTATTCTATAGTCGGCAAACATAGTTATTTTGTCTATGTCTGTGAATTCCCCCAAACAAGTGCCTCCAAATAAGTTCCACAGGTCTGCCACCAGTATCTGCGCTCTTTTGTACAAGGCAACCTGTAACATAAACACTATTACTTAATACCATAAACCAAGAACTTAGGAATTGCATGTTACCACAGTATATATTTAGAAGTAGCTTCACAATAAACCAGTAGAAAAAAAAACAGTAGCACTGCATGTTTTTTTTTGTTTTTTTTTTATTCGTGAAGAGCCAACATGAATATATATCTATGTTTATGTACATGTACACAATATTATATATAGTTATATTATCAACTAGCTGGTACCCGCGACTTCGTCAGCGTGGAATTTGAAAAGCGCTAACTTAGTTGGTTCGATTCCCGGACTAACTGCGCAAAATTTTAAAGGGTTTTTCTGAGAGGAATAATATAACTAAATTACTCCTTATATAGACAGTTACCTGGTAGTAAAATATTATCAACATCGATTCAGCTGTTAGAAGATTACCCGGAACAAATAGACAGACAGACAAAAAAAATTCAACTGGTTTTTAGGCATGAAAAAACCTATTATTTTGACATTACAAACTGACACTTCTTAATCTCACTTACGCCTTCACTGTCAAAACAATTGATTTTTTATGTCACACGGTTATTTCCACGATTCTAATGTCTAAATACCAGTTTAAATATTTTTTGACAGTCTGTCTCTTCGAATCGAAGCCGAGGCCTCATGGACTGCAGTTGCATACACCACTAAGGCAGCGCTTTTCAAATTCCACGCGAACGTAGTCGCGAGTACCAGCTAGTTTTTTAATATAAACAGTTTTACTAATGTATGTATTCCTTCCTGCCTACACGAGACTTTATGACGCCTAACACCCAGGGGCGAGATGGTTCACTACTCGAAGAAGTAGTACTCCGTCCCTCTAAATATAACTAACACTTACAAACATTTATATTCTAGTATTTTTTAATAAGAAATTACCTTCTGGCCTTTATAAGTTGCTACATCACGGAAACAAGGGAAATCATTCACAATGATATCGAGGAGTTTCACTGCAGATTTATTTGCTTCTTTTAAACAATTCACGAATGTTCCGTTGTATTTAGTGAGTAGCACTGCACCCACTTCATGCAGGACGGAGAATCTTTCTTCAAATAATGGTATTTGTACTTCGTTGTCACCTCTCAATATTGATTGCAACTGTTCTTTGGTAATCTTTGAGTAGTATCCTGGATTTGTGATGTCTATGCCTTCCTGTTATACAAATTGAAAGCAAATAAGTCATAGAGACTGAGTTTTTATTTGATAAAAAATGACTCATTTTTATTGTTTTAGGTGGAAATTAAACTCGTTGTGAGTTTAATTTGGTTTACAGGTAAAATCACTAACCACTGCTATGAACCAACATGTTAAATGTAAAAGAAAAAAATTACACACAAGCAAGTAATAATGTGATAACAAAAATGAATAATCTTATTTCTTAAATACGTCTATGTTAAATTTTGTTATGAAATTGTAGAAACATTTTATCCAGCATATATTTAATAAGAATATGTATGTATTTAGACATATATATATATATACTTATCAGCAGTCTGGTTGCCATATTACAGTCTCTGCCTAGTTTGGAATCAGACTGCCCTGCGAGGGATGTGTGAAGTTATTATTAGCATAATTTTATATGTATAGCCTAAAACTTTAAATAAATCAATAGAAATAACCGCATTTAAGTAATAGAGACCTGTTTTAAGTCATTTACCTATGATGACTAGACCATACTCTCATACCATGGTATCTGAAGGCTGATACTCGTAATAAAAGTTTTGTCAAAAAAGTATTACTAAAACTAACAGATTACCGATTCAATTTTCAATTACAATACCATATAATCACATTATAACCAATGTTGAATACTTTACTTCGAAGATATTTTCGCAGTAAAGTATTCAACTTATGACAGTCGTGTGATTGAGAGTTGAACGGCAGAGAATTGTGATCATACATAAAATCGGCCTTCGGATTTTTAACATTCTACAGAAACAAAAACTGTTTGATTAATTTAAATAAACAGAGTAAAGAACCTTCATAGCCCTAGCAAGAGCAGCTTCCAATGCATAATATCCAGTTTGCCCATCAACAGTCCACTTCTGGGCATTAGTGTAAGACCAGAAGCAGAAGTTCAGTGCATCAGCCACAAACACCCAGTCTGCAGCCCTCTTATGGTCTTTCAATACTTGCATGATGCTGACACCAGTATCTGGGACCTCTAATTTGTTCTTAATTGATAACACCATCTATAAATGTTTTAGAACTTTTTAGTCAATTTTAATTAAGTGTTTAATTAAAATGATAGTAAAACATAAACAGTAAACTGTGATAGGATCCTAATTAAGACAATAACTTTGAAAATAATTTTATATTCATAACTGGAGCTGTTTTAGTGAGATTCTATTTTCAAACAAGAAACAATATAATAGTGACAAGCAGCTATTTTTAGAGTTCATAATAGACAGTGCAGTGTCTGTTTCGTTTAAATACTCACCTCGTCACTAAGTTTATCAAGCCCTGTTTCATGAATTTTAACATATTTTGCATTTTTTGCAATAAATTCACCAGATTGCGCCGGTAGCAACACTTCTGGAGCCATCGTTTTGCGTAGTTTATAAATGTAAACTAAATGTGTTTTTTTCGGTGTTAAATATAGAGATACTACAACTAACAACAACTACAAAACAACCTGCTGTAGCTCAAGCTTAAAATTGCTGACGCTTAATCACTTTGCTTGACCTCAAAAGTATTGTCAAAAAATCAAAACAAATAATAAGTTTCCGACTGTCAAGTGTCAGCTGATGTTTCGTTATTTATCAAATCTAAGAGTAATTTCGATTTGCTATGCTAAGTTCGCGAGTGCTAAATTGACAACTAAAAAGGGATATCAGATTTGTAATAGATATTTGTACTCGTGTAAACTACATTAAAATATAAACACGTTATTTTCAAAAACAATATTTAATTTTGATAGTCCAACAAACTCCAATATTTATGAACGCAAGAAGTAGCAACAGTAACCGTGCTGAGTTATGCATAACTTATAATAACAGAGTGGTAAATTTTTCAATTCAAAGGTCGAAAACTATTAATCACAGTTGACTAAAAGCATTAAGTAATTAATTTTAATTTAATTTGGAGTGTAGTTCAAAGAATAAATTTACTTTCAAGTTTTTTATAGTTGGATTATCCACCTCTTTTAAAACTTTAAACCGTTTAAGTCTTCAGTAGCGTGTAAAGAAGTGTTATTTTATAACCTAAAAATACACAAACACCGATTTGTTGTCCTAAACTAAACGAGTGCGAAGTTGTACATCTAATAATTAAAATCCTAATATTTAAATTTTATTAGCAAACATGCCCCTTGAAGTCCAAGGCAAGTTTGTATCTCAAAAAATAAATAAAGTCCGTTGGATACCTGAAGAATACGTGGAAACGAAATGTTTTTTCACCGGTAGTTGGGATGATGATATCAATACAATCAAAGTTTGGACCCTGGACAATCCTGATGAAGATGACGAAGTTGATTATCCTCACGAGCTCTCCTCATACCCAGTAGAAGGCGATGTCACACAAATAAAGTTTACTGATAAGAATAAAATCGCAGTTTCGTTGTCTAATGGTGTCGTTAAAGTGCTAGAAATTAGTGTTTATGATAAGAAATTGCCGCTGAAGGAATTATTTCACTTTAAAAAATTGCATAACTATGGGTAAGCAATTTTTCACTTCAAATCGTGTAATGGGCCTATCAGAAAAAATCTTAAATTCTTTATTCAGGCATATGCACAGGTAAAAGGATTTGGATACTAGATTCAAAAATTTTAAATAAGTACTAAGCCCCTTTTGAAACACATTGCCATTTGAAGCCCATTGAAACCCTCATTTACCTCTATTACTTTGTGCAGGAAAGAAAAATGTTCATGTACCTCATTAGATACACTTGAAGGAGATATAGCCACAGTAGGAGAAGACGGCAATGTGAACATTTTGAGTGGACGGAGAGGAGAGATCACCCGCACTATACAGGAGGCAGACAGCTGTTCTTTACACTCTGTTTGCTTTATTAAGCATAATGAGGTACGTTTTTCTTAATAATTTTATAGCTAATATGCCATAAGTTGTAAAATTATGAAGCAATAAAAAAAAATGGCTTGATTTGTAAGCAAAGTACTAGTAACAATAAATAGCATGGAGATTTAGGCAGAGTGAACAAGAGCCATATAGGCAACAAGAGAGATGGTTAGTAGATAGTTCCCTCTATATCTTTATAGTCTAGCTCTGTGGTTGAGGGGAAATTCCTGATCTCCCGCCTGTTTTACGATCATACTCATGCCCACTTCATGATAGCCAATTGTAGCTTATCTAAATAGGGACAGAGGGAACTATCGGGCATCCATTTCTTTTGTTGCCTGTATCTCTTCTATTTACAGGCAGCTATACCCTGTGTTCTCTCTATGCTTATATCTCTATGATAAATATAGGTTATAAACATGCAACATTTTTTTTTTACATTACAAAGAATGTTCATTCATTCTAAATATAAACATCCTTTGAGTTCTGAGTAATAACACATTAGGGCTATAGGCTAACAGCAATAATTCTCATTCTCTGTGTGGTGGTGGATTAAGAATACAAAGTGTTCATTCTGTGAGCGTAGTAAGAGCAGACTACGGTAGCAAACTACACGGGACAACAGCATTTTAAAGAGATGGAAAACTTCCTTTCCAAGGAGAAGCCTATGTCCAGCAATTAACTATTGAAGGCTGATAAATTGTAAAGGCTGAATAATTACTCTAGTTACTAGTTACTCTTATTTCGTTTCGGAAGTTTTAAATAAAAATCATTATAATGTACAAACCATTCAAAAATTAAAAAACTTTCAGGCTATAACTGGCAATCTTAGAGGCCACATGAAAATCTGGGACCTAAGATCTTCAGAGAACAAACCTGCAGCATCGTTCTTGCTCGCTGGAGATGAACTGGCAGCAACCTGCATCATCCACCACCCAACTCAACCACATATAATTCTTGCTGGTAGTGAGTCTGGGTCTCTAGCAGTTTGGGACTTGCGTATGAATGCCTTTCCTACGTCGCTAGTCAATGCTCACACAGCAGGAGTTAATGAAATGCAGTTCCACCCGGAAAACCCTCACAAATTAATCACATGTTCTGTATCAGGGGAATTATGGGAATGGAACATGGAAGCTATGACAAAGAGTTCAAAAGGACCTGATAGTCAGCTAGTTACATGGATGCCATTAGATGATAAAAGTTCCATGATGGTTAATTCCCTGATTTCAGCCTTACACAAGTCCATAAACACACTTCATTGTGACAAAGGCCGGATCCTTTGTGGGGCTGATAATGAAGCTATATATTTAGTCAAGAATTTTAAGTATTAATCTTTGGATATGCAGGATGGAATGTGTTCGCAAACCATAAGAGAAGTAACATGAGTCTGCCTTTGGTTTTAATGAAATGGCCGAAAGCAGATAACTGGATTATGTGCTTCATGATCCAAAAGTTGAATTTGTACTTTTTGAATAAAAATCTTCTACTACATAAATCTTTTTTTTCTCTTCTTCCAAGTGCTGCAATCTTGTGGTCCTGCCACAGTCGATTCTTCTGCCACCTATGGTATCGCGATGCTTCCCCATAAGAGCTCAATGCTTTGCAGAGAGCAATAATTGAATTATTTTCAGTTCAAATCAAAAACACCTATGCATCAGCGCCCTCTAGTAATATGACCGAAGGAAGGCAACATTGCCACGTTGAATGGCAATTCTAATTCTGTATGCTAAAAAGAAGGCCCGTTTTTAAAACGGGCCTTTGTGTGTCGATTAGTCGATTGATTGTTTGATTGATTTTCTTATGTTCTTTGAGTACTTACATTCTGTTTTTTTAGTGTAGGGGGTTATACTCTTCTATGTGAAGTGTGAACTTTTCAAGGAAAAAGCTGTTTAAATTTTAATATATTATTATTTCCTTACTTTACACCGAGTGAGTTAGGTTACTCGAGCCGGGCCTGGCAGAGTGCCGCAACGAACTCTCGTGTTAGAGGATTCCATAGTCAGCAGTAGTCACTTACCATCACAAGGCTGAGTGCAAGTTTATTTCACATCGACTCGATCGTCACGGTAAGCGCGTTCGGCGCTGCGATTGGCCCACACTGAAATCTGCACCAATCGCAACGTCGAACGCGCTCGCTGTCGAAAGCGAGTGTATGTGAAATAAAACTTGCACTAGGTCCCCAGGTGACCTGTCTGCTCGTTTGCACCCTATGCCAAATAAAAATATTTTAATTTTTACATATTTTTCATATTTAAACATTCTGAATCTCAGTGATTCTGATGGTAGTTACATTACTTCTCACTTGTTTTTTCTTCTTGGTTTATGTTTTTCTGTTCCCTCTACCCACATTGAAACTGACACAATTCTCTTTCTGGCATTTGAATGTTTATACGGTACGCATATCAATACTCTTCTGTCTCCGTAAACGGGTGGACCGATTTCAATGGTATTCACTCGCACGCACGCTTTGTTTTAATGAGTACCTAACTTACGTTACTTTGTTTAGAAATAGAAGGTGAATTAGGGTTCCGCACTAGCATGGGACAAAATGACGGTGAACTGTGATTTATCATTGGAATTATAAATATTAAATCTGGTATTTTTTTAATTGCTATGTAGGGAATGGTAGCTACATATAATAATTACTAGATTTACTGTTAAATAGTAAAAATAGGGTCTTTACCTATGTATTGTTTGAAAATAATGGCAACAACGCGTGATTAAATAGTAACCCTACCTACCTGATTAAATAGTAACCTACGTACGAAAAAATCAATGACAAATCACCGGTCTTTCACAGTTCACTGACTTTGTCCCATGCCTATTCCGCACTAACAATTTAACAACGTAAGCATACGAGAGAAAAACTGAAGCAGAGAAAACGAATAGTAAAGATATCCTTGGAGTATGTAATTAAAATAAATGAAAAAAAAACACAGTTTAAGTAATATGCATTTTATTAAATTGATAATATATCCACTTACGAAATAAAATTACATAATAGTAATACACCAAGTCAGTCTTTGCATGCCTAGTATCAGTTATATATGTTACAAAACCTGATGAATATAATATTTACATGTTACAAGTGAACTAATATCATTTAAAAGGCACCACATTACAACCGCCTGGAGAACTTCACGAATCCATAGATTATACACTAGCAAATCTAGTAAATCAGTTTAACGGAAAGCAACATACGATTTTCAACTCTATGTGCTATATTTAAGGTACACAATTTATTGATTTTTTTCAGAAATATCATTGTGGAATATCTTTTTTTTTAAATTATTTTTTTAAGATTTCAATGCCCTGGGCGAGGGAACTAAAAGTCAAGATTGAAATTATATATTAGTAAGAATAATAATATCGTTTTATAATGTAATGACGTTTTATAAATAAAATCAAGCAGAAAATATGTACCTATGTTAAAACTTTATACAAGAAAACCAATAGTTTACCCGAAAATTCGAATAATTCGCCTTTACAGCATACGAAAATCCATGTTTAATAATCAGAGCTTTAATCAGAAAATAGATGACAACGAATACCTAATATTGTTTAAATCGCTTATCAATTTAAAACAGTAGTCAGTTTTTGAGATTTAATGTTTAACTACGAACATTACCATGTGCTCGTTATGTCACGGTTAGTAAAATTTAGATATATGGTAGGTAAATAGGTTGTAATTTTAGCTTGTAAAAATTATAATGATTATAAGTTGATAAAATTAATATACATAGACACACTACAAATAAAGCGTCAATCCAAGTTGTTCGTGACCACAAATAACAAGGAAAGTTACTCGTCCACGATGAGATAAACCTGTCGCTGCGCTGCAGCAATACAAATAAAATTTCGTTACTCCTTACTGCCACCGCTGCCACCTTGCACTATAAAAGGTATTAAAGCACCTCTAATAAGATTAGGTACTTAACTACACTTCATATTTAAATAAAAAAACCGACTAAGTTTAGAAAAGATAAGTAAATAATTAAACTTTACTTTCTAATTATCGATAAAATATTATTCGATTCTTAACATTAACCAGTTTCATTATTCATAAGCATTGCATCTTACAGGAATGAACACATACAAAGTCTGGTTTTTAACTTTTATTACAGCGAAGAAGTACTTTATGATTTGTCTTGTTTTGTGACGTCATTACTCATATGTCAAAATTAGATTTTGAAAGTTTGTTGACATTACATTTTGGTACAGAATATAATAGTCTCAATTGGTTAAAGTTATACATAACCAGGAGAATTTTAAAAACAATCCTGTTAGTAATAAATGCCAAATTATGCAATAAATTTGCATCGTTTACGGTTTATCAAAGATATAAATGCCCATATTTTAGACTTCAATGTCTTAAACATGGCTTTGTCAAAAAAGTAAGTACTTTCTGCTTAACTGCAGACTATGTATAGTTCTACAGTTTCACTCTTGACCATTGCGTCTTATCTCTTAACGAATATTATTTACTAATATCTTAAGAATATGTTGAAATTTGAGTTAATAAAATTACCGAACTAAAACAATAGTTATTCATTTGCATTTAAGACGAAGTATAGACAGCCTCATCATCAAATACTGACTAATAATACAAAAAATACGTACAAACGTCAACGGTCATTCATTTAAAAAAAGTCAAGATTGAATAAATGTTTTGTCTCTCTCTATCTTATTTGGAATGTGAAGAGGACCATAGCATAGAAAAAAACGTTTTTTTTTTAACTTGTGTGGTAAAAGCAAAATTGGTTAGTTTAAAAAAAGAAAGTACTAGAGAGTTATTGTTTATTTAAGTATTTTGTGTAAGTATATACTTTCCCTAATCAGATTTATAGAAAAGGCGGAGCCTCTATCTGGAATAGCATTCAATAAGATCACTAGATTCAAAATCAAAATATAATCTAGGCCAGTTAATGTCCATGTCTATAATGGGCTCTCCAATCATAGGATAGGTACGCGACCCCGATGCGTTCGAGATATTACAGTATCAGGCCTGTTCCCAAGCCTAGAATGTGGTATCTGTTACCTCTATTTCTGTTCTTCTGGGTTTATCTCGTTTACCATTGATTACATTCTCAAGCAGAGTTGGTGTTAGGCAAGTGGCCGACCATAAAAAAAAACGTCGGAGGAGGGTAGACAGATGATGTATATCACTAGATTTAAATTAACAAATATGGTTGAATATTTGGTATCTTATTCACACTTCTATACGGAGTACAATCGTAGATTTAAAATAATAATTATCACTCAAATATTGTTCAAGAATAAAATATAAACACAGCACAATTTGACTGAAATATATAAATCGTTCCTATTCGATATAATACTTAAGGCGAGTACCGTTCAATAACTTCATATCGAGTGAATCGAAACGATCCTCGAGCCTTCGATCGTGCACGCGAGATGTGAGCCGGCAGGTGTGACCTTGACCTGTCAGTGTCAAGGTCGGGGCGCGCTCAGGTGTGGTGCGGGCGGCGCTGCGGCGAGGGCTTGCGGCGCGCGGCGGCGAGCAGCGCGGCGGGCACCACCCACAGGCGCTCGCACCACCGCATCAGCGCCTCCGTCACGTGGCAGCTGTTGGCCGCCGTGGCCAGCTGGGTCTCCAGGCTGTCCGACGGCTTGATGAGGAGACTGGAAATAGGCATACAGATTACATATTATAATTGTTCCGTAAGTCAAGCTTCGTGTAACACGTAACGTCTCTTTTTAACATTTTACTATAATTCAGAATTAGGATATATATATTATTTCAATATGATCATCAGTAATCGTCAATTCGTTGGGTCCTCCTTATTCGGTAAAAAGAAAAAGAAATCGATGAAGCCTGTGGGATCACTCCGGTCGGGCCGACCTATATATGCCGAAGATTGCTTGCGAATGAAGATAGCTTTATAGAGAGCAAATTTTATTTATAAACTTTAGTGAAATCAGAAAAGCGTAGAGGAGTCATCTCTAACCTGGGTGGAAAGAGAGCGGGTGCGATGATCATGGCGACGTTATGTTCGCTCATCTTGTTGATGTCCGATCTGGCGACGATTTCTTTCATGAGACGCAGCACCTCCCGCAGTGTGGCTCGCTGTTCGGCCGGCAGGAGCAGCACGAGCAGGTTCAGTGTGCGACCTTGGGTTGTGCCACTGAGTGCTGGACAATAAATTAACAATTAGCAGCTAACGATGTATCCATAATGATATGTGGGGAGCTACTAAAAGAAGTAAATATTCACAAGCCTGCAGAACATCCTTTCCAGCACGTTTAGGAGTCGGTATGATGTAAATACTTACAGTAGGTGTGGTAGAAGAGCCGCATGAGCTCCTGCGTGAGCGGCGACTGCGGCAGAGCGCGCAGCAGGCGCTTGAAGACGGCGGCGACGTCGTGCGACGTGGCGCGCGCCAGCGCCGCCTCCACCGCGCCGCGCGACGAGTACCACCCGCGCTCGATCAGCCCGCACAGAGCCTCGATCTGCACACCACCAAAACGAATTCGTTCTTTCTTTCTTTTTTGAAGACAAGAAGACAAGTCCCGCACGGGAGTATATTCTGTGCCGCGGGCGATATCACAAACATTCATGAAACGGACAATGACAATCTCGTCTTTTTTAAGAATTCATGATGTTGCAACCATTTTTTTTGCATTTGATCAAATCAAATCAAATTTATTTTACAAATTCTTAAAAAATACTATCAGGAATCACAGCATATTCAGCCACAAGTAGCGTACAAATCTTAAGTTAAAAAAAAAGAGAAAGAGAGTACAGGGAGTTTAATGAGCAGGAGAAGATTTATGGTTACAGGTATAGCCATATGGTCATTTAAATAATCGTTAAGAATGACATTATAATTTCATTTTTCAGATAGCAGTATTTTTATTTCTTCTTAAAATCATTTATTTTTAATTTTCTATATATATCCGGCAGTTTATTGTATATTTTTGGGGCAAAACAAAAACACTTTACAACAAGAGAGCTGTGTTAGACCTACGTATACATAAATTATGTTTTCGCCTATTGCGTCCAATAAGGTAGGAAACAAATGTGGATGATAGTTATATGTATTTACTAACTCCTGGATTTCATAGTCAATATTCTCGAAACTCATTTCTAGAATTGAACCATTAAATTATTCATAATGACGTTATTGGCCACTAAATTCTCTCTGGGACATTTAGAGTACGCTTTGTGTAGTAGCAATCGCTATTGGGTTATAGTATTCATCAATAACTCATTGCAGAACAATGCACAAATGTCCCGTTTGAAGTAGAATTATAAGTTTTTATCACTATCAACCAGTTAGGAAAAAATCGAATCGTCTAGATTCCGCAAAGGGCTCTAAATACGATTTAAATCTCCATTTCATCCTTTTGATCCTTCCTCCTTTCTAATTTTAAATTTTATTTGCCACCGGGTTTATATTTTTACCTTCTGTTTATTGCCCGGCACCCTGAGTAGCCCCTCGTCGTTAGTCCGCTGGTGAAGCTCCGAGGCTAAGGCTCTAACTATGCTGGGTGCGCAGCTCCACGTTTCTTCCCAAATTATCATATCCTTGCGCACTAACGTTTCCAAAGATACACCGAATACTGAACCCTCTGAAAAAGTACAAATGATTTTTCTTTAGAAAAGTGCATGTCACTTATCGGATTTCCGGAATCTCCCTGAGCGAATCATGCAATAGGATATTTGCCTTAAGAGTAAAGTATAGCCATAGGACTACAAGTGTTACTAACCTTCTTTCCTTTTCTTCTTGGGGGATTTCCTCTTCTGGAAGGGTAGCGAGTATCGATCAAAGAGCGCTGTAAGCTCCAACCACAGAAGAGGCGGCAAACGTTTAAGCTGCGGCTCTTCAATGCTCTCAATATCAACTGAGCTGTCTTCTTCAGGCCAATCCTGTAAAAAATTGAATTGTTAGGAAACAACTAAGGAGCCCGTAGAAAACGTGTTGAAAAGTGTCCGACTACCTCCTGATTTGGAAACAAGATCATTAATTAAGTAAAGAGAATGCAGAACTACCGCCATATTGGTATTTTGCAGTAAACATAAATAAGCATACGCACCTCCTCCTGATCCAGCATCTGCTTGTCGAGATTAAATTTATGTTCGAAGCTGAGCGGCTGCTGCGTTGACGCAGCGCTTTTCGCACGAGACACCGGCGCATGCGCAAGTTTATTGTTTCTGAAAAAAAAACATTTAATTAAATCAATGTTTTTTAAATTTCTTTTTTTATAAATTGTATGCTTTTTTTAACTAGTACTACTTACGTGAAAGGATCATTGTCTTTGAGTATGGATCCATTTATTCGTTCTTTTCCTATCCTCGGCCCTTGAACTGTTCCGTATCTTTGGTAACCTAGAAGTTCGATTCCCTCTGCAAAAAAATAAATTAGTCTAAGTTATTAACGTCATCATTTGAAAGGTGGATAGTTAGGTATATCCTTATCCAATCAGTCTACAAAGCTATTTTTTCAAATTTGGTCTTTTGTTATGAGAATCGGATTTAAACACTCGTACCAGTATTAGTCGCAATATCAGCCCAGTGTAGATCATTAGGTTTGAACAGTTCGTGCATGGGCAGCGGGGGAGAGTGTCGACTGGCCGGCGAGGGTGGCGACTGTCGTGCGCGCCGCGCCGCTGGCGCCGACGGAGTGCGCGCTAGCGGCGCGTGTGTGCTCACAGGAGGGAAACTGTCGCTGGAGGGAAAAATGCCGACATGACATTGACTGTCCAAAATTTAAAATTCGAATTGATTTCTGATAATTTGTCAAGGATACTTACACGAAGTCCGGCGGCGTAGCGGGCTCAGCCCATTCGGTCGGCGGGCTGCCAGAGCCGCCGCTAGGCAGAGAATCCAATGAGTCGGGAGTCGCGCTGCGCGACCGCGGTTCACTACCACTTGAGTTCTATAACAATACAAAAGTAAATGTTCAACAGTGCTTTTTGTCACCTTTAGAAATAAGATACTTTTAGAATTGATTGTAAGTACACACACACGTATGTACATCACACATACAGTCACGTCTGTAACCTCCAGGGGGTAGACAAAGGCGTAATAGCTGCCCACATTTTGTTGATTATAATGTTAGTCCCATTAAGATGCTAGAAGTTAAGTCCTGTCAAATACTCAATATTATAAATGCGAAAGTGTCTGTCTGTCTGTCTGTTACCTTCACGCTTAAACCGCTGAACCGATTTAGATGAAATTTGGTATAGAGATAGTTTGAGTCCCGGGAAAGGACATAGGAGTTTTTATCTTAGAAATCATCCTTTAAAGGGGTGAAAAGGAGGGTGGAATTTTGTATGAGGAATCAATAACCACTTAACCGATTCAGATGAAATTTGGTATGGAGACAGTTAGATTCAACGATCGTGCTCATCGCACATAATTTGTCTTGGGTGGGCATCGAACCCACGAACTGAGGCTTAGCAGCCAGGAGCGTTAGAGCATCTCAGTGACAGTACACAGGCTTTACCGCGACTAGTAAGTGAATACACAACACTCAGTAAAACCATAGACGTAACAATAACGCGTAAACTATAATTACCTATCTACGTACATAATTAACAGTTACTGTTTCAAACATTACAAATAATCCTTGGCCGAATATTAGCTAATCAATAACAGGTGTCATTAGTACTCGTTAAGACTCGGTCTGTCGATAACAGGTACGGCGACGACTAGGCGACAACTTTACGTTGAGAGATTTACTCATAAACAGTTTACTACTTTCAATCTTCCTTCTTCTTCATCTTAGTCGGTTTAAGCGTTGACGATAAAATCTACATGAGGTATACACAGTTATACACACTACATTATCAACAGCCTTTAATAGTCCACTGCTGGACATAGGCCTCTCTTTATAAATGAGGTTTTGGCCTACTATACCACGCTAGCTAGACGGGTTGGTATAGCGCTTGTCTCAAGTTTTCCTTCTATTGGCAGTGCTGTGGTTGTTTATACGAGTACACACATGTATTTCAATAAGTTATTGGTTTTAATAGGCTGCAATGTAAAATAGAAAATGAGAGTAACTTTTAAAACATTAACGTAAATCTAGGTGTGTTCTTAACTGTCATGAATAATCGTGATGCCATAAATAAAAAGAAACAATTTATAGGTTGTGAAATGTGCTCTTAATTTCTTTCGTCAAGTATATTTATAAGGACCCGTGTTCACCAAAGCAAAGAGTAGAGGAGATGTGCTGCGAAGCTAGCAGGTTATTTTCACCAAAGCGGAGAGGAGATGCGTAGTGCGGGCCTAACAAGCGGTTAATTCTGGCTGATGTCTTCCATGTTTAAATGCAGGCATTCATTTCCGGCGCTTTTTTTAAAGGAACTTGATACGTCTGACAACACTTAGAAACGGCTAGTAAAAAAATGGCATAAATGATGTCTATGGACGACTAGTGACGTTGAATCACGAATATGCATACTGTGGAGGTTTTATGTTTTTTTTTATAAATTGTTATACTTATTATTGTTCGTGACTTAGCAGCAATCATGTAACATTTTGACTTAAAAGTAGTGGCGGATAGTAATTAGTTATAGTATTCTCGCGTAGTTAAATGCTCATTACTTTGAATTACGTCAACAAATGACTATGACAATGAATAATGATAGACATTTAAGTTGTTAATTTACAAGTTCTCGTGATGAACAACTGGATACCGTACTGTTTTTGGCGAGAGCATATCATACAAGTACCTTCCGTGAATTTAATTCCGAGTCATCATAGTATACCTGGTGAATACAGAGTGTCTCTGCCCCTATTCATCCCGTGGGTGTCGTGAGAGACAGCAGCACTGCAAAGAGAAGGAAAACTTGACACAAATCCTATACCAACTAGTATGGTATAGTTGGCCAAAACCTCATTTCTAAGGTCTATGTCCAGCAGTGGACTAGTAAAGGCTGTTGATGATGATGATAGTATACCTAGCGCTCTAGGAACACCTCTAAACTACTTTGTTTATAATTGAAAATTAACAATTTCTACGTAACAGCGAAACAGAATTGATTTCTTGATATCAATTTTTTTTTCCAAACATAGGTGAGTTGATAACAATACAATTACAAATTGTTATGCTATGCTATTTTTGTGGACTGTTTTTTGAAAGTAATTATGGTTTAAAGTGTCATCTGATCTATCAATTTAAGTTTAGTAACATTTTAGTAACATTCCAATACTGTCTGGCCCCCCTGATCATCTTTTATGTTTATTCCAAAACCGAGTTGGCCATTATTATTTATACAATTAATATTCTAGACAATCTTCGTCATTTTAAATTAAAGATTTTAATAAAATAGGTAATTTTAGAGCTTTACACAAAAGTGAAAGCATAGTTTACAAGGAATTAGCATAGGTTTTGTTTCCATTTGGTTACACTTGTTTTGAATAAATCGATTCAGTATTCGATATAAATGATTTATAAAAGAAAGCAGCGGTGGGAAAACCTACTTTAAGTGATTTTGCGGTATCGTGCAAAATTGACAAGTAGGTACCTACTTCTCTTTCACTAGTAAAAGATAAAAGAGTACATCTTTGAAGGACGCATCATAGACAACTAGTCTGATGATAAAATCTTATTAAAAAGTGTACCGAATAGATTTTATTGATCTTAGAGTTTTTAGAGATAATTTGTCTATAAAAATACACTTGAAACATACTTTTCTATAAAAGACGTCGTAATTGAGAATTACTTACTTGTGCATAAGTAACAAAACGTTTAAAAAGAGAATGCAAAATCTTGTAATACTCATTAAAAAGAAGACGTGGGTTTAAATAAAAAAAATGAGCAAGCGTTACAGTAGACGCATATTATTATAATGTGTACCTAACATCCCAATAAACCTTGGTAACCAGCCAAATCAATAGCACGCTTTCCTGGATTTCTGTTACACATTTCCGTCCCTTTTCACGATATCACACCTACAGATTCCCGGACAGTGAGAGGGAACATATTTTGGTAGTTTGACCAGATTTGGTTTCTTTTAATCCCAATAGCAACTTTTACCGTCACGGCAAACGTATATCCCTATAATTACTTGGCTTTGCTAATTAATTTCTGCACCAATGTGTTCCGTGACACCACTTAAGCCATGCCAATATAAAATAGATACAACAAGCAAGTGAAAGAAAAATCTCGATAATTCAGTCGATATGTTTCGTATTTTTTGTATAACTTTATTCCGTTCGGATTCTTTAACGCGACAAGATGAATAATAGTGTGAATTTTCAATTATTTAACGATGACAAATGAATCATAAAATTATTGGCAGCCATATTTTTTTTTATTTTTTTTTTCGCACCAATTCTATTTCTACGTAGTTTTTGTAAGTATATTATTGCTAACGTGGTAAGTTATTAATTATATTTATTAGTAGCACGATAAATGAGAGTATTTAGGTAATTAATAAATATTTTGATGTAAAAACTTTTGGGAGACTGTTAGAAAATTAGAAAGTTGAAATTGAAATCAAATTGAAAAAAAAACAAACTAAATTGAATGTATTTAGAGGTTTGTATTTAACACAAAACGTTGATAATCTATTAATTTAAGTTTAGAATACTTATAAGGGTATGATTAGATAATGTACAGAAGTATGACCCGATTCCAAAACGACAAACGAAAGCACCGAAGAGTGCAATTATTGAGATGTGCGCATTTTAGTTAATAATCAATATAATATAATAACGCATTTAATAATCATGTACTTGTACGCAAGTACATTATTATTGTACGCGTGATTATTCTAGATATCAAACAGTAGGTAAAAAAATCAAAGGACTGCTCGCCGCTTGGTAAACGCTATTATCGCATAGACTAGATAAGATTTTTTTTCTGGAAGCAAGTATAGCACAATAAGACAGATATCACAAAAAATCGTATAAGCCACTACCTAATAAATGTAGGACATGTAATCACTTATATTATCAGTATTAAAATCATAAGAATATAAATAAATGTAGGTTAAGTGTAATTTTAATCTTATTGTCATCTTTTTAGGCAATTGCATAAACAAAAATAAATTTAACCGTGTCACTACATGTCAGAATATTTTCTCGGTCGCCATTTGTCATTGTCCCTCGCCTCAACTTTTTAAAACTAAAAGCGTAATTTTAAAAAGAGAAACCTGTATTACGTATCATCATCGTCCATTTTGTCCTCGAGTCACACAGTTACACAATACAATTTGGAGAAAGCTAATAGATTAATGATTTAATGACTCGGTCGTTTTTAGAAGAATTTTCAATCTAATATCTGCTTATTAATGATAACTTTGTCATTATATAATTTTCTTGTAACTATTATGTAATATTGTTTTGGGTTCATTGACATTCTATTAAGATATTTAAAACATAGAGAACACTTACATCCATTTTTTAATTTCATTCCGTATGTGACGTTAATTTTTTTAAGACACACAGGCATTTTAAAAAAATGTTTATTAAATAATTCTATTTGTACAGACAGCTAGATAGGTGCAGAAAAGTATTATTTAACTTAGTTACACTAAATATAGGGGAATTACCGTGATCACGTTATTACGTGCTATCGAAAAGTATTCAATAGAAATCATTCCTATAATAATTATTCCTATTCCTATTTCCTTATTCTTCTTTTGCAATGGGAGAGGCCTATATCCAGCAGTGGACTGCGATAGGCTGATGATGATGATGATTGAAACGTCAGCAATAGACGCCGATCAGGTAAGTCAACCCGTGACCATTGCTGATCGAAAGTTCAAAAGCTAGTTTACTAGTACACTCACTAGAAATTCATCTAAAACTGTTCTTTAGTTCATAAACTCCACTGTCTTATTGATAACAAATCAATAACAACCTATTTTTATTGTCAAGTGATCAAGATAATGTAGACACACCCTTAATAAACGGCTGATCTGC